CATTATGTAGCGTCATTCTTTCCCTCGTCTACAGGGTTTCGTGTGAATGGCACGCCTCACAATGCGACACATGATCTCTGAGTTGACCCGTCATTCTTGGCCAAAAGATCAATTCTCTTGCCAGCTTAATGGTATGGTTGGCGCCAAGGTGAGAGCGATGAACGTATTTCAGCATTTCTCCTCGGAGTGATGACGGAACAGCAAATCATCATAGGGAGAGAGTTCGTCCCGAAAATCGAAGTAGGGCGTTAGTTCCCCCGGCAACCACTTCTTCGTTTCCAACCAACCATTTATACTAGCGTTTCATAAAGCTGCAAACGTCGCATCTTTCTCTGTGTGGCGCTTTATTTCATTCAGACGATCTTCCATCACTACCAGGAGTTGTACTAGGTTTACTACCTCGACCTCTTCTGGATTAGGCTCAAGCACCGGTAGATGAGCTCTTGACAACGTGTCCGAGATGAACATCTGTGCACCAGGCGCGCACTCAATATCCAAGTCGTACTTTTGAAGGCGGACAAGCATACGCCGAAGACGAAGAGGAACGATGTGCAGCAGTTTGCTGGTTATCGACACAAGCGGTTTGTGGTTGGTATACACAGTTGTCTTTCTTCCCAAAGTATAAGCGTTGGAACGCTCCATGGCATAGACTAACACGAGTATCTCTTTCTCAATTTAGGCATCTCGCGGCTTGGTCACGGTGAGTGTTCGACTGCGGAAATCCAAATGTTTTCCATTCTGTAAGAGAACAGCATCTATTCCGTCCTGGCTACTGTCACACTGTACCTCCAGAGACTGCGCTGGATCCTAATACCCGAGTACAAGGGCATTGCCGATGAGGTGCTTAATAGTTGCAAACGCGCTTTTCTGTTCTTTTCCACAACTCCACTTTACTGCTTTGTGAGTTAACTTTCTGCTCGGCGTCATGAGATCAGTGAGTCCACGCGTAAGATGGCTCAAATAAGTCACCACGCCGTTTAGGCGATGGATTCCTTTCACTTCGTTAGGCAGTGGCCTTTCTCGTTTTACTATGATGGTTCCTGGATCGACCCGGATCCCATGGGTAGTTAAGACATGCCCGTGGAAATTCACCTCATCTTTACGAAGCTCGATTTGCGCGCCTTTAAGCTTGAGGTTCTTTTGAACACAACGTTGCATGAAACGGTGGAGATTAGCGTCATGCTCTTCTTACGTCGAGCCATAGATAAAAAGAGCGTCTGCCACACCAGTTGCATCATCTAAATCGTCTACCGCTTGCACTCATCGTTTTTGGAAGCTTTCACTCAACATCTTCAAACCAAACGGTAAACGCAGCCAACGATAATGTCCGAGCACTGTTGCAAATGTAGTCAGGAAACTAGATCCTTTAACTAGAACCACATGCCAGAATGCGGAAGATACGTCTAGCTTCGTGAAATACCTAACTTTTGCCGGGCGCAGCAACATGTCTTCTAGGGTAGGTAGCGCATAATGCTCTCTACGCAGGGCCTCATTTAATGGTTTCGGGCCAATACACACGCGCAGTTCGCCCGTCTTCTTCGTAAGGATTTCGACCTGACTAACCCAGTCGGTTGGCTCGTCAACTTTGGCAAGCACACCCTCTCTCACTAATGTGCCCAATTCAGCTAAGGACCTTTCACCTAGTGCAAATGGAACTCTCCTAGCCGGTAGCATTGTTGGTCGTATCAAAGGATCTAACGATAAGTAAACGGTTCCTACAAATTTTCACAAACACAAGCTAAAGACGGACGGGTACTGATCACTAATCTCTGTTTCTCCATGGCAAACATGCACGAATCGATCATGACTAAAAACAACAACACCGAGAGACTGTATCGAATCAATGCTGAGACAACTGAATGTCACTGGTCACATACTCATCAGGCCTTAATAGAAGCAGGTAAATCCTCAAGTGGTAAGTTTAATAGACAACGTGGACATTGTTTCGCTTCGCTGTCTCCAGAACACATCGATGCTCGCCGGCATATTCCGGCTGGAAGCGAACACAATGAAACTCGCAAAGAGCTCCAAGTAAAACCCCGTGCTAGCCTGAAGAGAGACCACGAATCCTGGTGGTATCTTCGTGCGTCAGAGATGGAAGTGGCCGCTGCCCTTGGTAAGCATCGAAAGTTATTCCATCCTGATAAGGGAAACGGGCAGTAGGAGACCTGTTGTTGGTGAAACTATACGTGACGAGAGTGGACAGACTATCCACAATTTGTCAAAAAGTTTGGAACGTTGGGCTGAGCATTCTGAAAAGCAATTTAATCTGCCGGAATTGTTAGATTCCTCACCGGCCAGTGATCGCCCTGCTCCCTGGGCTGTCCCTTTGGATCTGCCCTCTCGCTCAGGAGTCGAACGTGAGATCGGACTGTTGAAGTTGAACAAAGCCGCGGGATTAGATGGGCTTCATCCAGCCTTCTTCAAATTCGGAGGCTCTGCTGTTGTTGATGCTTTACATGAATTGCTAGTGAAACTGTGGGAGCAGGAGACTGTCCCAACCGACTGGAGCCGCTCGGTTATTGTTCCCATCTTCAAAGGCGGCTCGCGCTCGGAATGTAGCAACCATAGAGGAATCAGTCTGCTCTCCATCACCTCCAAATTACTTGCCCCTGTAATCCTTCACAGACTGAATGGCGCTCCTGAAAGCCGGATTCGTGAGGAGCAAGCCGGGTTTCGTCCGGGTCGTGGCTGCATCGACCACATCTTCACCTTGCGTCAATTGTCGGAGCACAGTCACACTTATTGGCGGCCCACCGTAGTCGTGTTCCTCGACATCAAAGCTGCCTTCGATTCATTTGGTGTGCTCTTTGGGACTGTCTACTCAGGAAAGGTGTACCTGAGAAATATGTGAATATTATCCGAGCATTATAAGCGCGCAGCACGGGCAGAGTGAGGGCTTAAGGCAAGATATCGCCACGCTTCCATGTCTCCAGCGGTTTGAGACAAGAACGCCAGTTGTCACGTTTCCCCTTCAATTTCGCTATTGACAAAGTCATGGAGATTGCATTTACAGGTCACGAGTTAGGTGTAGAGCTAGTCCCAGGAGAACGACTTATTGACTTGGAATATGCAGACGATATTACCCTCATCTGTGACAGCTCCCAGACGTGCCAAGCGGAACTGGACAGACTAGCACTGGCTGTGAGCCGCTTCGGGCTTTGCTTTGCACCATGCAAATGCAAAGCTTTCCTCCAAGATTGGCAGGGATCGCCTGTTGTGCTGAGAATTGGTGGGGATCAGCTGGAAGCCGATCAAAAATTCAGCTACCTGGAAAGTTGCATCAGCGCCCTTGGGATTGAAGATGAGATCACGAACCGTATAGCAAAGATTCGAGCTACTTTTGCTAGTCTTCGCCACCTATGGCGTCGGCGCGACATCGCTCTCGCCCTGAAGGGTAGGGTGTACAATGCACCGGTACGTTCGACCCTACTGTACGGTTGTGGAACCTGGCCCATTAGATCAGCGGACATAAAGAGGGTAGTTACGTTCGACCACTGGTACCTTCGCAGTTTGGATCACATTTAGTGGGAACTCCGCATGAGGAACGGGTGTGTTCAACGCCTCGTTTACGGCACAGGAAATGGAACTGAACCGCTTAGCACCGTCATTTCACGCACCAGACTCCGATGGCTCGGCCACGTGTTACGCATGCCAGCCCACCGGCTCCTGTGACGTGCTCGCCCGGGGGTGTGGATGGAAGAAAAAGAGTGGTGGCAAAGCGATGACGCCGGACACTGTTCACGAGCGTTCGGTTTGCGCGCGGAGCAAAATTTGCAGATCTGTATCTCGTTAGTAGCCTTTGCTGCTTCGCCTCTAGAAAAGGCACATAATTCTGCATCGGTTGCGAATTTCATTTGTTGGTATTGATGGGTGGTCGAGGACTCAATGTTGCAGATATCGATGCACTGCTGGAGCAATAAGTTGCGCTGTCGCAAAAGCCGCTTTCTCGTACTTCCATTATTGATTCCCAGGACGATCCGATCGAGTATGAGACAGTTGCCATACTTTTACAGAAATCGCAGGGTCGGGCCAAAATCTACACTCCAGTGATGTACGCCTTGACGGATTCGTTTGGGTCTCTGTTGCGCGAAAAGAAAAGATAGCGCTGGTAAGTCTCGTTGGTTTGACCTTCGCAAAATTTGCTGAACTTTTAAAGACCGCCTCCAAATTATTGGGAGCTTCGCTTTGTCGTAGTGCAATTTCTCCAGACCATGGCGCGCGTTATGCCCTGCTGCGTGTCGAAACATAGCCAAGGGATACACCATCGGTTGTTCTTCCAAACGTACTAATATGCAGAAATCCAGCCACTTGCTCTTCCATAGACGTCAATTATTCGCCAAGTCCCGTTCATCCATGTTCAATGGGATAGGCATTTGAATAAACGCTGGTGATCCGAACAGCATCCGAGCGCTGCCCGTGGAGTTCGTCTTTGCCTTCTCTGATACCATGTTGCAAAACTCAGTCTTTCAGGGACAACCGTTTATTCGGCGAAAGTTACAGCACGTTTAGCAAGCCATACTCCTCGATATAAGTTACGCGTTCAAATCCATAACTAACGACCCTTCTGAGGCAATGAGGAAATTCCATTGACTCAATTAAACAAACGATGAGTAACACACATGAATGTCAGCCAATCCATGTCCAGCAATCAAATCCGTTACATACGTCGACCATTGGCTATCTGGCTCGCTCGGTGGGGCCACCCATTACTTCTGGTATGACGCTCCTATCACACCCCTTGCACCGATTATGTCACCTCGAATGGTGACAAAACGTTTGAAATCAAACTGCCCAACTAAGTGAACGCCTCAACAACTGGATAGGGGCTGTTTTTATCTTACATAGTGGCGATAAAACGCGCGCATACTTAACTTTTCTACAGCTTTAGCCAAGCGAGTATTAGGTTATCTGCATCATTCGCTGGCAACGTTGGCAGCCAGTCTGTGAAAGTACAAACTGTTTGCTTGTGTACACCGTCAGGAAAAGTAAGGTGGTGCGTAGCAGTATCTGTTGCACACAACGAACACTTATTCCAGTAGTGAAAATCCTCCAGCTTGATATCATCCCAGCAGGTCTATTGCCGTAGAAGTAGCCTCAGATGAAACGCTTATAAAGCTATATTTCTGTGCACACATCATGCTGACGAAGTCACGAGCATTACTAATGACAAACTTAGTGGAGACGAACGGTATTTCACATGTAATGAAAATAGTTAGAAAAAATCATGTAGTCTGAAAGGACACGTGATCAATCGAAGAAGAAATTGTAGCGCTGACATCTGCAAATAGATCGAGTCACAAAGTTTAGAAGGTTGGCGATGATCACATCGAAATTCATGTGTATAAAATAACGCTGACAGTAGCCGAGGCAGTTACTAAGAGAAACCGACAGTTAAAACTGTGTCCACACTGGTGAGGAAATCAAGAGAATAGCGAAAGGCGTGTTAAATGCAAGTAGCACACTTCAAACTGACACACAGCACGGCCAACAATATTGACAAGAAAAAGGAGATGATTGAAAACGTAACACATCCAACAGCAAGTGAAGAGCTCACATAATCCGACAAACTATCTGGTTACAAAAATCTGTTCTCGATCCCAATGAGAGGTAGAGGGCAAGCAACGAGCGTTGTAAGCCTCGGAGCGCCATGCTTTAGAGGAAGGTTTGATATCACATCAAAGCAACGCAGATTCCTCGTACAATTCGTTCTCATCCCCACGATATTGGCCGATTTCGTAAACCGCCACAGTGGCGTGATCTAATTTCCCCGGAGTACGTTTCAGCAACTCGGCTAACCAACGGCGCTGCGCTTTTACTGGCCCCACGCCCAGTTCATCCTCTGGGACAGGCAAGTTCAGCTGCCCCAATTTAGCACGGGTCATACGCAGCCGGGTCAACTCAGGATCCTGAAGGAGTTCACGCTTGTCGGATGTGACTTTCACTGCGTGAGCGATCAGTGCATTACACATGTCGCGTGCACTGGCTACCCCGTCAGATTTAGGTGCTGGGCCTGAGAGGATGGCGTCGGTCTCGTGCCAAATGCGTTCCATCTCCTTTCCGGCGTATCTACGTCGTTCGGACCAGGACAACTCGAGCTGGTTGGTGAAATTGAGGTTCCGTGCACTTATAGAATCTTGTGCAGGACTCTCCGGTGTGTGCTCCACCTCGGGAGAATGTGCATTTGCAGACGGGTGGGCCAAATTGGGCATTGAGGATAGGTAGGTGTTAGTGGGAGGAGGAGGCGGAGGACGAGGCCAAACAGGTGCACCGGATGGGGGTGACAGTCCAAGCGGTCGAAACCATGATTTAGCAGGAATTGCGGGGTGGTTCCATTGATCCTCCGAGGAACCAGAGCTGTTCTCCACTTCCACCTCGTCTTGGTCATCCATAAAGTCAAGTTGCGGGGATTCAGGGGCAGCCACCTGTGTAATGACAGGGTCGAAGTTATCCGTTAGACCATCTGAGCCCAGAATGACAAAATCGCCCGAATCGCAAAGCGTAACTGAAACAGACAATGCGGATAGCACACGTGTGACGAAAGTTTCAACGAACAGCAACAAAATGCTAACGGCTGTAATATTTCAAAAGGATTGATTTGTTTGTTCTCACTATTGTCGTCATCATGAACAGCAGTACAACAGTCAACTGTGCTGACACTTTGCTGGCATACAACTACAGTGATTTAAGTAATAAAGAGTAAGAAGAGAGTAAGAAGCGGGATCTAGTGTAAGACTTTAATACCCTAAGCAAACATTCAGAATCAAGGCGCCTACACCTTTGGGCGTCTTTCTCTTGCTACAATTCTCTCTGTCTATCAAAACGCCTGGAGTCGCATTTGAATGACAGCGAAAATCCTTGTGGGAAGCCACAATGGATGCTAATTTGCGGGTAGTTTCAATGCGTGACTCCTGGTGAACAGAGAGAAGACGAAAGGAGGGAAGTGTTACCCGTATGGGGATCCCTGAATTACAGTGCCCTTGATTTCATTAGGCCAGGCCCACGTTGCACGTATGACGAATGACATGAGGAGTCCAAGGGACATGTCGCTAAGCAGCTTCGACCTAGTTAGAGCACGTTGACACGCTATGGATAATGTACAAAGTGCCTGTCATAACATAGGGTCACATGGTTCTGGTGCCCCTGAATTTTACGCATGTATCCCTTACCACTTTGCAGCATATTATTTAGTTTGGTAGACGTACAAGATAAACTATTTACTTTGCGGGTTCTGCTTGGCAATTCAACGTTATACTCAAATCTGCAATCCTACCGGAGTTGTTACGGAACCACACGATTGCAACTAACTATTTGGTTCTTAAACTTGTTCGTAAGAGCTTACTTCAGACTGTTCAGTTACCTCAAATTCTTGCTTATTAAACATGAAAAGAGGCCGCCGTATTGCTTTTTGCATCCATTACGCTATGCGCTTCTTTTAGTCCAACATCAGAAAGCGGAAGTCACCCAACTTTCGGGGCCATCGTAAATTGAGCCGGTTGAGAACGGACGCGTTGCCCCCGCTCTCTATACTGCAGTTGCACAGCGTATACCCAGTTCAAAGGATCAGTCACATGCTCACTTGCGTGGGTCCATATTACATGCTTGTCTTACTCGCTTCCCAGGCTCAGAGAGAAGTAGCGAAAAGGTATCGAGCATGGTCCAAAACAAACACCTACCGATATTGAAGCCCGGCGAGCCGCAGCTATAAAGCAGTTGCGGTTTGGAAAAATTTCGAAGTGGACTATCGTGTTTTGGATGTAACAAACAGCTCAACAACAGACGCGCCCATGTGTCAGTAAGGTGTGTGAAAGAAAGGGATACCTGAAGCAGGTTCCCCTTGGTTCTGCACTGGTTGTGTCTGTCCCACAGGCTAAATGCATGGCTGTTCTAGATCAGTAACGCGATAACTCAACTGCGATGATAGAAGAAAGAAAATGAAATAATACAGAGGTAAGCGGAGCCAATGTCCAGATACGAGGTCGCGCACAGGCTCACCGCGGAGCACGTGAGCTTTCTGCTACATGCGAAGGTCACCAGCACAAGCGTAGAACGACCTTCGACTGTTTTGCCAAATTTGGGAATCGGATACAAACTGGTTGGTCAGAAAATACAAGCCCGAGTCAACGGAGGCGAACCATTCCGCCAAATATGGAAAAGCCGTGGGACAGAATTAGCTCACATTGGCTGAGAGCCACACGCTCCCAAAATTAGTATGTTTCCTTCACCAATAAATAGAACTGACCTATTGTGTAGAATAGACTGCCTGTTTACCGAGCCTTGTCCTTCTGTATCCCGTCGGTTGGATGGGCGCGTGACTGAGCAATCAGGCAGTCGTAGTCTCGCAGGCGCAGAATAGCAGCAGTGCAGCAGTACGAAGGCAGTTTACAACAGTGGCGACAGAAGTCAGAAGAACCCAAAGATGTCAATCAGTTTTGGACCATTGCATGCTCTGTTGCAACAGCAGGCGAAGTTTGAGAAAGCACATGCCAAGTTGATCGAAACTCTGACCAAGTATTTGTCACTACAAGCAGGCTCGGTAACAGGAACAAGTGAACGTTGCCCTTCGGCAGAAACCTTGACCCAGTAAGTTTGTGAGTTCCGTTACGATGCCGATGCCGGTATTACCTTTGAATCGTGGTTCCATAAATACGAAGACCTGTTTCGCGTTGATTTAGCAGGTGCTTCAGAGGACAAGAAAGTTCGCCTCATGCTGCGGAAATTGGGTGCGGCCAAGCATGAAACGTTTATGAATTTCATCTTGTCGAAAAAGAGCACTGATTGAACGTTCGATGAAGCGGTTGCTACTTTGTCCCAGATATTTGGAGAGCAGTCGTCATTATTCAATATCCGAGACAAGTGTCTGACAATGACCAAGCGAGACGACGAAGACTGGGTTACTTACCCGAGTCGCGTAAATCGTGAGTGTGAACAGTCGTTGTTTCACAAGGTGACAGCTGATCAGTACAGGTGCCTTATTTACTTGTGTGGTCTTCAAGCAACCAAAGATGCTGATGCCCGAACAAGAGTACTGAGCAGAATTGAACAAAATCCCGAGATCACACTGCAGGAAGTGACGAACGAATGCCAACGGTTGATGAACTTGAAGCATGATGGTGCGATGATCCAACAGTCTTCTATCCAGAGTAGTCAGGACATCATTTACTGGGTCAGCAGAAGTCCTCAGAAACAATCGGTTCATGTGAGTTCATCACATTCTAAACCCTCTTCTGCTTGTTGGTTTTGTAGGGAATGGCACTTTGGTTGAATCTGCCCGTTACGAAGTCACATTTGCAATCGCTGTGGTAAGCGAGGACAAAAAGAGTGTGTTGTCATGCGAAGCGACCAACAATGAATGGAATACGGCGTCGAATCCCGGTGCGCTTCCGATGTCACAACGAGGCCAATACTGTGACGGCTACTTTCAAGGTTGACGGTGTCAGCCGGCGTAAGTTTACGATTTTGAAGATCAATGATAAAGAAGTTAAACTGCAGCTGGATACTGCGTCAGGCATCATTTTGATTTGTCGAGACACATGGTGTATGCTGGGAGGACCACCGCTTGTCCACATAGAACACACAGCACGAAACGCATTCGGTGGTAGTTTGAAACTTCTCGGAGAGTTGCATTGTCAGGTCATTTTCCCTGATCAGTACATTCGTACAACTTGTTTCGTGACAGATCAACCAGGATTGAATTTGCTGGGTCTCAATTGGATGGAGGATTTGAAATTACTTGACCAGTCAGTTAACAGTATATGCCAGAAATTACAAGTCGAGAAACCCGCAAAGACGCGGAATATGAACCTCGAACTTTACAGTCAAATTGCAGAACTGAAGCGACGCCGCGAAAGTTTGTTCCAACCCGGTCTTGGATGCTGCCAGATAGCCAGAGCTGAGCTGAACCACAAAGCAGACGCCAGACCAGTCTCTAGACCAAAACGTCCAGTGCAGTACGCAACACAAGCAATAGTGGAGTCCGAGTTAAATCGGTTGCAGTCGGAAGGCATAATCGAACGCGTACATTACTCCGAATGGGCGGCACCCATCCTTGTGATAAAGAAAGGTAACGGCAAGGTACGTATTTGTGCTGACTTTTCAACCGGCTTAAATTCTATGTTGGAGAACCACCAGTACCCTTTGCCTATACCTGAAGATTTGTTCACCAAGCTTAACGGTGGAAAATGGTTTGCGAAACTCGATCTAGCTGATGCTTACTTACAAGTTCCAGTAGCCGAGAACTGCAGAACTCTCTTGACGGTTAATACGCATCTGGGTCTTTTCCAGTACAATCGGTTGCCATTCGGAGTGAAAACTGCTCCCACCATTTTTCAACAAATCATGGATACGCTGCTAAACGACATCCCTGGGGTCACAGTATAACTGGATGACACATTGATTATGGGGTCTGACCCACAAGCATTGCTGGCCACGTTAGGGAAGGTGCTCACTCGTCTAGAAGAAGCTGGCTTCCGGTTGCGAGCGGAAAAATGCAATTTCCCGATGGAAAGTGTCAAGTTTCTCGGGTTCATCATTGACAAACATGGCAGATGTCCGGATCGCGCTAACATAGAAGCCGTCAAGCAAATGCCACCAAAAGGGTTGTTGACGAACGTCGTTCATTTCTCGGTCTTATAAGTCATTATAGTGCCTTCCTGCCAAGTCTACATCAGGCAAGAGGTCCTCTGAACGAGTTGCTGATGAAAGGGAAAGAATGGCGATGAACAAAGTAGTGCCAACGATCGTTTGATTCAGTTAAAACAGCGCTCAGTTCTGATTTACTTTTGACCAACTTCAACCCAAATTTGGAGGTTGTTGTTGCTTCGGAAGCCTCCAATTATGGGGTAGGTGCTGTCGTTTCTCACGTGTTCCCCGGAGGTGAAGAGAACGCCATTGCGCACGCAGCACGGTTGTTGACAGTGGCGGAGAAAAATTACAGCCAGATTGAGAAGGAAGCGCTGGCGATTGTTTTCGCAGTGAAACGGTTTCATAAGATGCTATATGATAGACATTTCAAACTGATCACGGACCACAAACCTCTACTCTCGATATTTGGATCAAAGGAAGGTATTCCTGTTTCCACAGCAAGTCGCATATAGAGATGGGCAACCGTACTGCTGGCTTACGATTTCAGTATACAATATCGATCTATATAACAACTCGGCCAAGCTGACGCTCTATCTCGCCTCCTCGGTTCCCACTTGAAGGAAAACGATGACTGAGTGATTGCATCTGTTAAATTCGAGTCGGAAGTTCAGCGCATCCTGGTTGGCAGTGCAAGGGAGTTGCCAGTAACGTCGGACACGATTCGTGCAGAGACGGCTCGAGACGATATCTTGCTGAAAGTGATGGGTATTTTGCAGTCCAGTTGGCCTAATGTCAGAAATTCGAATGAGTTACAACCTTTCTTTAATCGACGCGGATCCCTTTCGGTCGTTGACAATTGTCTAATGTTTGGAGACCGAGTCGTTGTACCAAGGAAGTTGCGGAAGCCAATGCTACAGCAGT